TGGAGTGGTTTCATAATTGCCGTATTGTTAGTCAAGCTCTGTAATTAGGGATGACTTCATAGGCAGAAAGATTCTTCTATGGGCGACGCCCTGAATTCATACCCAGGCATACACCGTAGCCTTTTATGGCAAAAAACAAACAAACAAACAAGGTTTTGTTCACCTTTGTTTTATTCCCTTATTTGAAAATCTGTTTTCCCCTGTCTCAGATGTTTAGGGAGAGAGGACTTTTTCTTTTCTTTTTTTTTTTTTTTCTGTTGTCTCTTGACACCACAAAAGGAGGCAATCGGAGGAGACAGAGTGGCCCCAGAATTTGGGACAGATCAAAGTGCTTTGCAGATGAGAGAATTCAGAATTTAAACAGATGGAACGTATATTCCTGTTTCTTTAAATATCAGTTTCTCTTTTGGGTCATTTTAATAGAGGTCACTTTGGAGGGAAGACAGACGGGGTAAAGGACATATTTCAAAGTCAGGCTTTCCTTTTGCTTGTCGATCACTTACTGTGAAGTTGGGGTTACATTTTTAGTCAGCAAGTAATATTCACTTTTTCTCTCTTCCCGTTTTCTTTTTCTTGCTCGTGAAAAAGGTGTGCAAATTAGGAGGAATGAGACCATGTCAGGAAACTGTTAGCTGTTTTGTAATGTGACCTCTAAACCTTTCAAGTAAAATCTGCATTTTATTTTAAATAGCTGCTGTCTGCTCTTCAGGTTGTGTTTAGAAACTGGCCTTTAGCGTAATGGCTATGTCGCTGGACTCCCATGTAGTCGACCGCGGTTCGTGTCCCAGACCCGGTGGCTTAAACTCACGCCGGGCGCGTGTGCGTGCGTGCCCAAGATCCCAAGAGGAGAATGGAGGAGAAGGGATTGCGGCGTGACCATCCCCCCTGGGGGGTGATTTCTCGCTTTCTGTCTCTCTGTATCTCTCTGTCTTTCTGACAAGGGCACGCACCTAATAGCAAAAACGTCTCCCAAAAAAAAAAAAGAAAGAAAGAAGGAAAGAAAAGAGACTGGTCTTAGAAAGGCGCCGCATCAAGTCATGGGTAAAAAGTAACTGGCAGATTTTCTTAAGGCCTATGCTTTTTAAATTACTTTCATTAAAGGCTTATAATTTTTTTTATATAAGGGAGACAGTGTACTCCATAGTAATAATTACAGAGAAGATGAGATAACTTTTCATGTATCCCATTGAAAAGGCTTTTAGTAGAACTAATGACATACTAAGACAGCCTCTCACAATTACTTAGGCATTCATTTATTCCCCGTTTTCTTTCATTAAGGATTTGACGTTGCTGTGTAATACTTTATAGTTGTCGGGACCAGCAGTTAGCGTAATGGCTATGTCGCTGGACTCCCACGTAGTCGACCACGGTTCGCGTCCCAGACCCGGTGGCTTAAATCTCACGCTGGGCGCGTGTGCGTGCGTGCCCAAGATCCCGAGAGGAGATGGAGGAGAAGGGATTGCGGTGTGACCATCCCCCCTGGGGAGGGTGATTTCTCGCTTTCTGTCTCTATGTCTCTGTCTGTCTGGCGAGTGCACGCGCCCTATAGCGAAAACCTCTCCAAAAAAAAGAAAAAACTTTATAGTTGTCAATGCACCTTCACACATGCCACCACTAATCTACATAAGGACCTGAGGGAAGCGGGTATTATTATCAGTATTTTCAAATGAGGAAATTGAGGCTCAGAGAGATTTAACTTGCTTATGACACACTCTCAAGAAATAGCAGAACCAGGGCCCTAACTGCTGTCTTCTGATTCTGTGTCCAACAGTCTTCTCATTAGATCATTCTATGTATGTCTTTGGGTGAGGCTCAGCTGCTTGGTACAGGTACTCGGTATTAAGTGAAGTGTCTACAAGACAATACTGATGTCAGATCTTCTATTTTGCTTTGTGAGCCCATGTGGGATGTTTTAGTGGCTTTGAGAAAATAAAGCCCTATAGTACAATGAATGCTTCATGCAGAGGAATGAGAACTATTATTTTCATTTGTATGATTTTTTTTTTTGGTAGAGGGTTTTTGTTTTTTGGTTTTTTTTTTTTTTTTTTTTTTTTATGGGTGGTTTGGGCCCCTGGGGCAGATTTTGTTATAGTGTGCATGTGCTCACTGGAGAGACAGACAAAGACAGAAAGACAGAAAACAAGAAATGACCCCCGGGGTGGATGGCCACACTGCAGTCCCTTCTCCTCCATTATCCTCTCTGGATCTCGGGCATACACACACCTGTGCCTGGTATACATTTTAAGCCACTGGGTCTGAGACTCAAATCGTGGTCGACTACGTGGGAGTCCAGTGATGGTGTGAGTTCTAAGGCACTGGGTCTGGGACTCAAACCATGGTCGACTACATGGAAGTCCAGTGACATAACCATTATGCCATCTGCTGGTCCCTGTATAATACTAATTTTTTCATATCAGTAGTCATTTTCAAGTTATTTAAAATTATTTTTTAAATTGTGTTTCTCTATTCATGATAGAGTGTGTGCATGTGTACATGAGAGGAGAAGAGAGAGAGACAGAGAGAGAGCAATGAGGACCCTATTGGGCTGTGATCATACTGTGATCCCCTTCCTTCAGTACCCAGCGTGTCAGATCCTGGGAACTTACTCGTGCCTGACATGTTTCTGGCAGACCCAGATCCCACATGTGAGAATAAAATAAATCAACTTTTTAAAAAAAGTTGTGATTCTTATAAAATAGACCATATATTGTGATCCTTTTAAATTAGACCATTTTTTTTAGTTTTATTATAGCATTTCTATATATATTTTCAAGTGATTATCAAAAATGGATATGGGTTGAGGCCGGCAGGTGGCATGGTGGTTATGGGCACTAGACTCCCACATGGCTGACCCTGGCTCAAGTCCCAGACGTGGCGGCTTGCTTTCTCACTTTCTCTCTCTCTCCCCCTTCTCTGATCAAATTAAAATAAATAAATAAAGCTAAATAAAATCATTCTTTTTTTTAAAAAAAAAAAGGGCCATAAAAAAGAAGATGAATGTGGGTTTATTCAAATGGAGAATCTTATGTTAAACTACCCTGCTATCCTGAACCAACCTTCCCTGGAAATGTTTTGGAAATACATATGTGTTCTATATTTTTGTTCAGATGTGTCTCTTAATGCATCCCATAGATGGAAAATCTGAGTTATAGGTATGAAAGAAGTCACTTTAGGCTTTTATTAAGACAACTAGACAGGAATAAGAAGCTTAAATGTGAAAATATATATTTTAATGTGATGGATTGAATTTTGTTTTTAGTAAACTGGTACCTGGAAATCATTTCTATGAGGGGTCAGAAGGTGGCATGGAGGTTAAGGTGCTGGATCCCACCATGGCCATCTTGGCCATTCCAGTCCCAAACCCAGTGGCTTGACAGTCATGCTGGCTGCATGTGTGTGTGTGTGTGTGTGTGTGTGTGTGTGTGTGTGTGTGTACCCCAAATCCTGAGGAGAGTAAAGGAGAAGGGAATGCAGTGTGGACATCTCCTGATGGCTGATGGCTTAACTTTTTCTTTTTTTGTCTCTCTGTCTGGCAAGCACACACACCCTACGGAAAAAAGAAATTTCTGTGAGACCTAAGCATTTCCTGATTTTGTAGGAAAAACAAAAGAACTGCCTTTCTGGCTTCCCTAAGAAAGAGTTAATATTTCTTGAAGTCTTTTGAGACTTTTCCCTTTTACAAAATGGATATATTTTTTATTTCTTTTTTAGAGATTTTGGCCATAGGGCGTGTGTGCTCACCAGAGATACACAGAGAGAGAAAACGAGAAATCACACTCCAGACAGGATGGCCAAACTGCAACCCCCTTCTACTCCATTCGCCTCCTGGGATTTTGGGCATACATGCACGTGCACCCAACAGGAATTTCAAGCCTCTGGGTCTGGGACTTGAACTCTGGTTGTCCATGTTGGGAGTCCAGCACCTTAACCACTACACCACCCAGTGGCTCCCAAAATGGGTTTTTGAACCTTGCATTGCTACCACTGGTTCACTTTGTGTCGGACTAGAATTATTTACATGCACGTCACCATATTGTAAATTCTTTGAGGGAAGAACTAGGCATAAAATGGGTGCCTAAAATATTGGTAAAATTGTGTGAGGACAGAGTGCATGTATACAGAACAGGCATGCTGGCAAGGGGCATGAAAAAGGAAAGAAATTGCTACCCTATTCTGCCCTACTGCCTGCAGGAGAAATAGAAGAGAAGGATTTAGCCAGAACCTGCCTAGTCAGCAGGGATGGGGTCGTAGGGCAGTGGACCCAGGGTGGGGGAGTATCTAGAACTTTCTTCTTCTTCTTTTTTTTTTTCTATTTTTTTCTCTTGTGATATGACCGTATGAGAACAAAATCAGCTCTGTGGTTTAGTTTCGTTTTGTTGTTTTGTTTTTTAAACTCACATACCTTAAATTATTATTGACTCACAAAATGCCCAGACTGGAAAAGACAAAGTCTGTATGTTTTAGATATTCTGGTATATATCTGACTTTCAAACTTTCTGTGCTGTTGTTCTACATGATATAATAAATGGAAATTGATTAAAAAAATTATTGAGGCCAGCCACAGAAGCACAGCAGTAATGTAATGCCCCACAATGCTGAAGTCACATGGGAAGGTCCTGGATTTGCATCCTGAGGTCTTCCTGGACATACTTGGCTTGTACGTGTACCTATGACCCTGACCGGTTAAGGCTGGGGGTGGATCATAGCATGAAGATTCTGTTGGCCGTCTCTTATCATTTTCTCCAAGTAGAAATAAATAAATAAAGTTAAAAAAATTTGTTATTGAAAACGTGAATGCTTAAAACATATGTAGAGAAAATTGGAATATATCCTGTATAGAATTTTCATAATTGGTAGTATTGATCATTGTGCAATATGGAATAATTTTTGAATTACCATCATTTAATTACAGTTTTACTTGTGAAAAATTTCTTTTAATTCATAATCTTTAAAATGTCAAACTCCGTATCTAACTGAAAATTTTTTTTTTTACCTCATAGGTCCTAAGACCACACTGAAAGGTGTTTTTATCCATCCTGTCTACTGGGAAGTTGCCCTTCTTTAGCTACATTTTAATATCATAGGTAAGAAGTTGGTGGACAGACATACTCTGTTTTTTAAAAGAATTATTTTATTTACATTTTACTTATTTATTTATTTAATTATTATTATTATTTTAATTTGATCAGAGAGGGACAGAGTGAGAGACAGAGTTGTAAAGTGAGAAAACAAGCCTCCAGGTCTAGGACTCGAACCACAGTGAGAATCCAGCACCCTTAACCACCACGCCAGCAGCCATTCCCCTGTTTTATATCTTTTTAAAAGTCTGCCTTTATTTAGTTTTTATAAATATGAGTCTTTATATATGTTTGTGTTCCATTGTGGTGAAAACATAGTTAAGAATATCTGGATATTTTAAAACTTTGAGAAACCTGAGTTTGAATTCCAGTTCCATGGGCCTAGGTCATAAATAAGAAAAAAAAGGAGGGCCAGCCTGTCGCCTGGTGGTTAAGGGAGCTGGATCCAACATGGCCAACTATGTAGTTCGAGTCCTGTACGTGGTGGCTTGAGAAACATGCCAGGCGTGTGTGTGTGTGCGTGTGTGTGTGTCAAAATCCGAGAAGATGGAGAAATGAAGAAAGGACTGTGGTGTAACCACACCCCATGGGAAGGTGGCTTTCTCCCTTTCCCTCTCTCTCTCCCTCTGGTGAGTGCATGTGCCCTCTCTCAAATTTTGTTTTAAAAAGAAAGAAAAGACGAAAAGGGAATAATATTTACCTCATAAGGGCTGTTGTGAGGAGTTCTAGTCCATTTTCTCACTATTAACATAAAATACCTAAAACTGAGTGATTTGTAAAGCAGGATTAAGAGGATGAAAACTTGGTCCATTTATGGGGTCAAAAGGTGGGAACTTTGGGACGAAATTAAGATTAAGGCCACTGGGTGCGTGCTCTCACCGGAGACAGAAATTGATAAATCACCCCCCAAAGTGTGTGGCCTTGCTGCAATCCCTTCTCCTCCATCCTCCTCTTGGGATTTTGGACATGCACACACATGCACCCGGTGTGAGTTTCTTGTTTTCTTTTTTTTTGAGAGGTTTTTGCTGTAGGGCATGTGCTCTCTCCAGACAGAGACAGAGAGACAGAAAGCGAGAAATCACCCCCCAGGGGGGATGGTCACGCCGCAATCCCTTCTCCTCCATTCTCCTCTCAGGATCTTGGGCCCGCATGCACACGCACCCAGCGTGAGTTTTAAGTCACCGGGTCCGGGACTCAAACCACGGTTGACCACGTGGGAGTCCAGCGACATAGCCATTATGCTAACTGCTGGTCCCCACCCCACCCCCATGTGAGTTTTAAGTCACTGAGTCTGGGACTTGAACCGCAGTTGACTACATGGGAGTCCAGTGGCATAACCATTATGCCATCTGCTGGTCCCCACAGCATGATTTTCAAGCCAACAGGTCCCGATCTTGAACCACAGTCAACTACATAAGATCCAGCTGCTTTAATCTCTACTCCACTGTTGCCCTGACAAATCTCCTTTCTTTATTGCAAGGATTATTAAGGTTTTTCTGTAAAAGTTCAGATCATAAATAGTATTTGCCAAGAGATAAAAATCAAAAATATTATGGCATTCTTTTTTTTAAGAATCGTTTTAATTTTATTTTTTGTCATTATTTTATTTTATTTTTTTGAAGTTGGCCAGAGAGAGACAGAGAGAGAGAAAGCAAGTGAGAAAGCAAGCTGCCAGGTCCAGGACTCAAACCACAGTCAGCCATGTGGGAGTTCAACTGCCTTAACTGCCACATCACCTGCAGGCTCCCCCTCCTCCTTTTTTGACAAAAAGAATTATTTTAATTTTATTTATTGTCATTATTTTATTTTATTTTATTTTATTTTTTTTGGAGAGATTTTTTTCGCTATAGGGCGCGTGCGCTCGCCAGACAGACAGAAAGAG